AGTATTACCTAAATATGGCTCAAACTGAACTAGGGTTCACCACAACCTTAAGGATCACTATAGGGTCAGGAACACAAACATGTATTCCTGACCCTATAGTGTTAAAACCACCATCTTGCTCCCCTGGGCCCCTCATGCCTCCATAAATATAACAAAATCTTACTGTATTCAAGCCTGAAGCTGTAGATCTGCATGCTGTTTGCCTCAGAAAAACAAGCTGTCTGCTTACATCATCAGAAGTGGTGGCGTGATCAAATCACAATGCTTCCCCATAGTATTGGCTGAGACTGACAAAGAGGCAGATCAGGGGCAGAGCCAACATGATTCAAACACAGCCCTGGCCAATCAGCATCTCCTCATAGAGATGCTATGAGGAAAGTTCAGTGTCTGCGTGCAGAGGTTGGAGATACTGAATGTTTGGATGCATTTTAAGGAGTCATGACCCAGGAATGATCTATAACAGCTATCTGAGGAATGGCCAGTGAAGTTATCACAAGGCTGTAATGTAAACACTGCAATTTCTCTAAAAAGACAGTGTTTACAGCAACAAGCCTGAAGGTGATGATTCTACTCACAGCAACAAGCCTGAAGGCATGATTCTACTCACCAGAACAAATTCAATAAGCTGAAGTTGTTCTGGTGACTATAGTGTCCCTTTAAAGCGGCACTGTCATAGCCGAATCCAGTTTTGTTTTTTTAGCCCCCCCCCCCCCTCCTGACTCCACTACATCTAATTGACCCCTTAGTCACCCCCAAATGCCCCTAAGCCCCTAATGCCCCTAAGCCCCCCATATTACATATGTTTACATCTTTATTTGTGCCCTAGGTACTGGGCGGTGGGCCTAAATGAAAATCAGGGGGTGAGGGGGTGTACCTATTGTCCTCCCTCCCGTTTCCCACCTCTGAGCATTGGGTGGGGGACCTATTTTCCTCCCATCAGGTGGGGGCCGGGAGGGAGGACAATAGGTCCCCTCAATGTCATTGGGTGGGGGTCGGGATGGGAGGACAATAGGTCCACCATAATTGGATAGGGGAGTGAGGGGTGAACAATGGTGAAACGGTTTAGATGTTTAAAAAAAAGCACAGACAATAGCTAATGTGATGGATGGCCTGGTCCCCCTAATTTGTTTTGTACAAGCTGCGATCCCACAGCACCATTATTATGTGCCACCTCATGGTGTTTTTTCAGGCTAAGAGAACGGACCCTATGAGATACTGTTTGCAATATACATAGTCATCTCTGTATTGTATGTGAACCTGCATTATACACAGATCAGTATGTGCCTGTATCAAGAGAGAGGGAGGGAGAGAAGCTCTTTATGCAGACAAGAAGTATAGTCAGGTGCTGTGTTATATTGCTAGAGTGGAATGTCTTTTGTAGGTTAAGTTAAATTAGTTACTGTAAGTGACAACCTGATGTTGGAGTTGGCAAGTCTACACTTGTAATTGCAGGTCTATATATCTAACTACCTGATCAAGATAACCTTTTGCTGTCAGGGTAGACTTGCATAGGAGGGGAAGAACTGGAAGAAATCAGTGCTTTCCTTTGTGTTCGGTTTGCCCAGCCCAGTTATGAATTCCCATTGGTGAAAATGTTTGTGCAATGTATTTTTACTGTATGCTGGGATCTTTGTAAGCTGGATGTTTTGAGTTGCCAAGAAGAAGCTTGTACATTTTGGTATTGTCAGTTTCTTTTTTTTAAGGTAGATAGATTATATTAAAGTTATTAACAGCTCAGAAGTTTTGGAGGAGGTGAATAGTGTTTGGGGAAAAAACCAAAACAAAATAAGCACATCAATTTTACAACACTGATACTTATATAATTTTGTTCTGGAACTACACGTTCAGAGAAAGACAATGTGGTGAATGATAACGTTTCAACTAGCATACTCATATAGTGATAGACGTCATTCTTTTGCTTAATTTAGTTATGACTAATATCCATTCACTCCTCTAGGTTCACAAATGCCACCTGGTAGACCTATTGTGACTGGCACTGGAACCAAATCATTTGTAGTCACACTTCAAGGTTATTAAATATGTTGTCTAGCTTTGTTTGAGAATGTTTTGTAGACCATCAATATGTTTGTTTTTTTCTTGATACCCTGAACATACTTATAGCCAAGCAAATTTACTTTTGAGATATGTAAACTATTTGCTAATATAAATAATAAATGTGCAGTGGGTTGTCTATCTCCAGAGGTGTCTAACAACCATTGAGACCAAGTTTGTCCCATTTATCTCAACCATTTTTATATAGGTATGATGCCATCTACATCTAAGGTATGTGAAACCGATTATTTTGTTTTAATTCTTTATTTAGAAGTAGGCAGTAACACTAATACATTTATTGTCAGCAATAGAACACTGCAATCATCGCAATGCAAATGCAAACCATGTGTAAATATTAGAACAAGGTAACAGTATTACTGTGTGTCTTTCAGCATATGCAATGAACATAATACTATATATACTGTAAATGCTTATGTTACTAATCAATTTTCCATTTAAAAGGAAGAAAAATAACTGCCCCAAAAGTTAATATAGCAAAATTGAAGGTGCACCAATAGTGTGGGGAAAAAAAGAAAAAAAGACGCCCTGGACCTGTATAGCATAATCCGCTTCCACTGCACTCTTGTTCAAGGCCAGGTGAAACCTTAAGCGACTCGAAACGCATGACTATTTGTATGCTATGTAATTTGTATGCTATGTTAATTCCTCACTCCTGTTAACCAATCTGTTTTGTAGGAAACTTGTACTTATGCTAAATACCAAAATAAAACAAAATGAAGCACTGAGGATTTGAGTTTGATATTGCTAATGTCATGTTTTTTCTTTAACAAATGCCAAACAAAAAAATAAGAATCACTCACTTTTTATTTTGAGGCAGTTTCAGCACGGCAAATTGATGTGGCAGCAAAGCAGAGAGGTAAACTGACAGTCCTTGAAAATAGAAGATTAGGTGATGTATCCAGGGTTAGTCCATAAGCAAAGTCATTTATCCAGTCCAAGGTTGTTCAATAGGAGATCAAGCAGTATTGAAGGAAATTCCAGAAGCAGAGTCAAGGCCAGTCCGAATTAGTTAACCAGGTAATCAAAGTTATAGTTGTATGAAGAAGAGATTCAGAAGGGATCCGCTGATGGAACACACGGTCTCTCCAAGAGTCATCCAAAGGATTAGGAAGGAAGTTCATGCAATCAATCAGATTAACACATTAATTGTGCCCTGAGGTGTTGGAGATTGGAGTTTAAATAGCCAAAGGGGTGTGTACTTCCATGCTGCCTTAAAGGGCCAGTAATAAATGAATACAATTTCTGATAGCTAACTTTATTTAACAAATTTTGGTCAAACCATTATTGACTTTTCTAATGAGATGGGGGCCAGAAATATAACTGTGATGATCTGTTGCATTCATTTCTAAGAAATAAATTCCATTCAAAAAGAACATGTTTAACTACTAGTATCTCAAGAAATCATTTACATGTGTTATTAATGTCAATCACACAAGCAGCAAGTGAAAAAAGTTATTAACATATTTCATCAACAATATTTTCAAAAACGATATGTCAAATGTGAAGAAACTACCCCTGTTATTTGGATACTTTCGGTTTTTTTTTCTGTTCGGTAGATAAAACTACTAAACACCGCCCACCCCTCTGGCTCATTGACTTCAAAGACCTTAGCCAATTTAGTGCTCTCCCTGTGTGGCTGCCGTTCGTATAGTCGAAAACCACGTGTAGGAGAAAACGGTGGCCATCTTATTCGCACGAAAGGAAGCAGCGGTACTTGGTCATCCAGTGTCTGGAACCAAAATCAGACACTTGACTTCCCGAACACCGGTCAAACTTTGCAAAAGCCTGCTTCCTTTCACCAACCAGCCAGGAGAACGCTATTCGGTAGTTTTGTTCCCACGTACTAGGGGAACAAACGCACCTATGAGCCAGGGAGTACTTGTCGTGGATTTGTTCGGTTTCAAACTTTTCGAAATAGACCGACCGCACAACCTAAACTCATGTAACTGTTTTTGAAGAGGAGCCTTGTGTGCGGTCGGTCAAACTAAGACCTCCATTAAATTCCTAAACCCATGAACTGATCTGGGTGATTTTTGGATATGTTGGTCACCCAGATAAGGGCTATCATGGGATGCAACAATTGTGGGGATTTTATGTGTTTTAGGGTACTTTTAAAGTTTTATGGAAAAGGTGTTTTTTTTTTGCTTGGAGATAATTGAGTTTTTACAGTATCTGACTCAATTATCTCCCAGGCAGAGAGGAGGGATTGTATGTGTGTTATGGGAGTGTCATACTTTGTAACCTTGCTGTTATTGGCTAGTAACTTTGTTCTAAATCCAATATCTCCAATACCCCTTGTGTCCATTTCTCAAAATCTAAATACATACTGATTCACATACACTCACAGATTCACATGCGCGCGCGCACACACACACACTTGTTCTCCAAAGTGAGAATTCAAAATGAATTTCAAATTTCGGCCAAAATAGCCAAATTGGAAAAATTCTGCAAGCCCAGATAAGCTTTTTTTTGGCCTTAAGGTACACTCCACTGCTTAAATGCAGAAAAAAATATTAACATTTTTTTAAATCAAACAGTTTGGTAGATATACTCAAATTAAACCATGCATGCATTTAATTATGCATTTTCTACCCAGACCTCCCCTTCTTCCCCAACACAGACTTTCTGTGACTGTCCAGACATTCCAATGAAAAGTCTTTTAAAAGGCAGGTAACAAACTAGGTTACAGGTTAACAAGGTTAATTTATAAAATAAAAATAAAAAGTGCAAAATTCTATTAAAATCTGCACTTTTTGTAAAATGAAAAAGAAGAGGACATACTCTTCACATATAAAGTTTTTCAGCAAGCTAAAGTGCTTCAGAGGTCCAGAAAGGCCCTTTTAAATGTTTAATTTACTACGAATTCTCACTTTACTGAATATTCCAGACAGACAGAATATACACATACAGATGAACGAAAATGTTTGCCTACATGAACACATGTCTGAAACTGTTGCTCCAATAGTTTCCATGTTTTTGTGACCCAGAGCTAAGTGACAGCGCTGGTGGACTGTCATGTTGTGGCTTTTGAAAATGTGTTTCTCTCCTAGTGATGAATCTTCATTCTCTCTGCTAGGCTCCCGTATTGGGATGATGGACAAAATTTTGTGTATAGATTTATATTGGTACATATATTTTCCATGGTATGATAAGTTGAGTTACAAGGTAGTTTGATTAACCACCCTTCTGTAATGTTTTATGATTAAACTATTTACTTTTTCAAGATTTTTCAACAGAAAGCTGATTATATTATGCTAATGCAACACGTGTTGCCTTTAATTGTTACATGTTATTTTGCTACTTTACCTAGTTAAACACTTACAAGTGGTGCTAAAGCTTGGTATAATGTGTTTATATAAGCGTTTGCTGACTGTTTTAAATACAGTATATTATAACATGTAATAAATTAATCAAATAAAAGTTCACATTTTTGTTCTACATAACACATACTAGTGTGTACACATTTTGACATGCCCATTTATTGGATTCTATTCAGTGACCTTTTATTTTTCAAATTTGACAGTTGTGTTTAACATCTATTTTTTACATTTTTTCTTACAGCTATATGATTATTTTGAAAACGTCATGGCAAGTTACAACACATAAGCGAAGATAAAATTATATAATTACATTTTTATGCTTAATTACATGTTCTGTAAGTATTATCAGGGTTACAAAATGATTATACTTATACTTTCAAGTGCTCTTTAGCTGATTCTTTATTAAATGAAACCATTGTTTACAGAATTTTTTTACCTAAAAAGCTAACAAATCTACAATATTTAACAAAAACAGAACAGAACCCCTTTTCAGAGGTAATGAGTGATACTATTCAGTGCCTAAATACACAGCAGCTCAAACACAAAGTGGAATAACCTTATTTCCACAACCAACACTATAAAAAGATATGGTATAACATTTACACCAACTAGTGGAGCGCTTATACAAATATAAAGTGATAGAGGGGTTCACTTACCCCAACAGTTTAGTGTGATCTCACACTTAAAAGTATGCTTGCAAACATATATAGAAGGGAAAAACAAAAGCAGAGAACATATAGTGTAGATGGTCTTTAGTGGTGATAAATGCTGTAAGTAAATAACTAGAATCACTCACATGGTCTCGAGCCTATAAATTATTTGCTCCGTAACATGAACATTTGTGCTCTTGGGCAGCAACATACCCCTTCCTGTATGATGCACCTCCAAAAAGACAAAGGAAAGAAGGGAAACAGACCAAATGGGTAGTACTGTGCAAACTAGCAATACATATCTTGGTGGTAAATATTATGCTCACCTTGTTGAGAGCCTTAAATTCCTGGCTCTGAGGATGATCAGCAGTGTGCCAATACACAGGGATGGCACTTCCCCACAGAAATGTCCGGAGGCTTCAAGGACTTAGATGGATGTAAAAAAATATTTTATTGGTTCCAAATAAAAGTAATGAAAAAAAAATAAAATTTGGAGTATAAAAATGATCAATAAAGAAAATAATGCAAACCCTGCCACTTAATGCCGTGCAGATGCCAAAGTGAGGGGTGAATAGGAAATAGTTTGACCGCATATGACAAAATCAGATCTATTGAGCAATGCACCCGCCACAGCTTCAAGAATGGCGCATTGTCAATGGTGGAAAATTGCAAGGAGACCCAAAAGAAGGTATGAGACTAGGAACCGTGGAGGAATGTGGTGCTGATAGATGACAAATCTGTATTTATGTGAAGCTTTACCAGTGACTATACTGATAGAGTATGTCCCCCGAGAAATAAAAGGAGGGGACCTAACAGTCTAGAAACAATTCCCTGTTCCAACGCAGTCTTATCAATTTATCCACGGATTCTGGATCTGCTAGTGCTGCCTGCAAATTATCACCTTTTCAAATCCTTATCCGACCTATTAGATTTAAGACCGTTTTCCAGTACCAACGGAAAAAATTCAAGCCATGTACGTAGCTTTCTACGGTTTTCTAAGGCCAAGAGAGTTTACCACCATCACCAAAACTCATTGTCTTAAACTATCTCACCTCAAAAACACATGGATCACTACCTACTGGATCGAACACATTCAAACACGCACCACCAGTAGAGATAACATACTATCCTACCCAAAATAAATGGTGCCTGGTTGCGGTTCTAGACTCATACCTTCAAAACCCCAACTTACAACCTTCATAGCCATTATTTGTATTACAAGGCTCAGCACCTACTACCTCTACCTTCATGAAACAGGTTAGGTCACTGTTAACCCAGCTAGACCACAACCCTTCTAACTACTCAGGTCACTACTTCCATATAGGGGCGGCCTCCACAGCCTGCAGTTCCAACATACCGGTGCACATTATCAAATCACTGGGGCAGTGGAAATCCTCTGCTTATACACGGTACATACCCAAACCAGTACAAGAGATACGCAATGCATTTAAGGAAATGTCTGGTTAATTTGTATGTGTTGTAGACTATATTAAATCTTTGATTATTCACTTTTGCCCTCTTATTTACAGGCCTACCGCATTGTCGGTTCCGGCACACCACAACTGACTTGCTCTTTTATACTATCCTACGCTTATACTTGGTCCTTACTCCTTATACGGCTATGTGCCCCACACACACATATACATGCAATGTTAAAGCAAATGCATAGACAGGATAGGCTGCTTTTGGTGTTGAGACAATTACTGGAAGATGGCATATCTCGTATCTTAACCATGTCCCACTGATCTTGAGAACCAATCAGAGAAAGAGAAGAGAAGGCAGTGCACATGCCTGCTTATGAGGTGTCTACATTCAGATAAAACTATTTCAAGTAAATGGCTGACAGAGATCATTTCTAAGAGCTCATGGAGCAGGTCACGATCTGATTCTTATTTCCAAAAATAAATATGTACTTTTATCACATACGACTGAATAGAAACATCAATTCATTGTATTGTTCTGTTTGCTGTTGTCATAGATTAGATTTTAATATACAATAATATTCAATATGTATTTTCTTGAAGAAGAAAATGAAAACAGAAATGCAGACGATTTGTCAATTAACATTTACATTTCTTCTTATTTATATTTTTTAAGACCACAAAGAGGCTTTTTGTAGCAAATAGAGAAAGGACATTTAGGATGTAAAAAAAAAAAATGAGATAAACAATCTAGGCCAGTGATGGTGAACATACAGCATGCATGCCACAACGGGGAATGGAGAGGCTTCTCTGTTGGCACACAAGTCAAAGGTTCATCATATTGCCGTTACTCTGAAGGCACAGTGCCACCATTAGGTGGTACAAGAGGTACCAGGCATGGAGTGCAGTGTCCAAGGATACTGCTGCCCACATCGAAATCAGCAATAAATTAAATTAAAAAATTATTCCATAGTGGTGAGGTGTTAGAGAGCATAGTCTGCACTTCTGCATTGTACAGACCATATTAATCGCTACCTTGCGGTTTCAACATTTAGTGAGTGGGAAAGCTCGGTTTGCAGAATTCCCAACCTGTGCTCTGACTTCCTCATGGAGAAACAGACTAGAAGGAGCAATCAATATGGTTTTCACAAGGAGAAGGTGCACACCATGCACTCAGCAATCGGGCCAAGAGGAAATTGTTAAGATCACTGAATCACAAGATATTTATTATAACCCCTTACTGACAAACCAGACAAGATCGCCTCGTCTCTTCAAAAAAAAAAAAATAAATAAATTAAGCAGAAGAGGGAAAATTGAGAGCTTAAAAAAAAAAGCCATCAGTGAATACCAATCTTTCAACCTACTTTTCTACCTTACCCTTACATTTTGTGTCACTATACCCCACTCCCTCCAGCATGTAAGCTAATTGAGCATGGCCCTTCCCAACCCCTCTGTTGCTGTGCATCCAACTTATCTGATTACAAATTATTATTTATAAATCATAATATATTTATAAACTGTGATAAATCACTGTTGTCATTTTCAACAAAATCAAAGAAACTGGATTATTTGCGCATGTGTTTATTCATGCATTAGCTTAAATGACATTCACAAGTTATCATCACAAAGATCTACAAAATCAATATGCACAAATATTTTAATCTATATTATATTTGAACGCATTAAATTTACAAAATAAGATTTAAAAAAGGCAAGAAAGTAAATAAGTCTTCCAAAGAGCCACACTCTACAGCATTTTAAAATCGAAGCAGGAGCAACAAAAGATATTTTTACAACCAAAGTATTTACACTGAACTCTAGCACAAATGAAGTTCTTATATGAACTTTCAATTGAAAAAACAAAAAAAAAACAGTCTTTTAAATATGTTTAGCAGCATATTAAATTAGTTAAAAGCACAATTATGCAGCTGTAAGCAGAAAATAAAACAATGTTTATTTATTTTTAAATAAAAACAAACCTCTAGGAACAAATAATTTATTTTGTATTTCAGCAGTCTGGACAATAAAAAAATAAACCAAAATCAAAAAGAAGAATAAAATGACAAAATTCTATAAAGTATTTTTTTTCAGCAAAAAAAATAAAAGAAATTGTTAGTAACCCAAAAATAAGAATGAACATGTTATTATTTTTTTTAAACATTTATCGCACATCAAATCCTGAGCACAAGTGGGCACAAAGAAGCACAACTTTGGTCAAGTGTGTATACGAATCCAACGACAATGCTTTATAGGCAGTTTGTATTGGTATTTAACTGCCGGCACATATTTTAATACCACAAATTAGGATTATACATTGGATAGCATAGAATTTTTTAAAAGTGAATAATTTCAGTGAGATTTGCGTAAATATGCCACAAGCATTTGCATTACTGTGAAGTGTACAGAACAGACCATATATTTTCTGTCTTAACAACACTGTTTAAACAAACCATACAATAAAGTGTACTCTCGGGTGCCTAGGTGTGCAGTATACCACGCTAGCTTGCTACAGCAGTTTGGAAGGCTTCTTATGCTAAGCACTAGCACTGTACCATTAGCATTACAGGTTAAATTGGATACAGTTTCCAGTTAGGTCCAACCTATACATTTCCGACTACTTTAAGTTATTAAATGCCCAAATGAGTCAGTAAACAGATTATCACAGTATCTTCTTAAGACAACGTCCAAGATTCAGGCTTAGTTGCTGGCAACATCTTCACTTGTGTCACCTGCATCCGATATCTGCCCATCCAGTAAACCATTAGCTTTCCAAATTTTCACAGTTTGATCACTGGACGGGATAAAATTAAACAAAAT